TCAAGAAATTGAAAATTTATTGCTGATTATACTTCCTGGGACCTTGATGCTTCAACTGACATTAGAGGGTATAGATATGGACACAGGCATGTGTAGATACAGATAAAGATGTAGACACAGATGCAGATGTAGATGTAGATGTAGGTGTAGGTGTAGATGTAGAAAGAGAGCTATGGATATAGATGTTGATATAGATAGAGTTACAGATATAGACAGGAGTCTCTGTGTCTTTTATCCCCTTTTTTCCTCCTCACCCCCCTCCATCATGGGAGAGGGACGCCATGTTAATAATGCACAAAATTCTACTTATTTCACCAAGAGAGGAACTTGCTTGTCTTAACAGTTTGGGGAGGGTCAGTATAAGTTTAGAGAAGTAGAAAGAAGGAAGGGTGTCTGAGAGACAGAGGGAACTAAACATCTGTTCATATGCATTTCATGAAGAGGATTTGAAGAGAACAAAAATAAAAGGCTTTTCAAAAATATCGTGTGTGTGTGTGCACTCCCTTACACCAACACACACACACACACACACACACACACACACACACACACACAGATGTATCACAAATATATATAGGAGGATAGCCTCGCAAGCTAGTACACAGGTTTTTGTGAGGATTAAATAAAATTATAATCCATAGTAAATGCTCAGCAACATACTTGGCACATAGGAACCACGCAACGTATTAACAGAAGTTCCTGAGTAAACAGCAGCATCTGAACTCGGTCTCTGAGCGGCCTGATGGGTGATGGCTGTTCTTGGGTTTACTTCTCTGTGTTTCTGATTTTTCTCAATCAGCCTCCACTGCGAAGCCCTAAACATGGTTAAAGGAGTGAGCTCTGGAGCTGCTCGGCCTGGGCTGAAATCCAGGCTGAACCACTGCCTTACTCAGGTGACACTGGGCATGTTTCTCTGCCTCAGTTTCCTCATGTGCACATCGGGGATAAGAGTAATGGTTCTCACACAGGGATGTTGTGATGACCAGAGGGTTTCATGCACACAGAGTTGTTGGTATTGCGGTTTTTTAAAAAATATATATTTTATTGATTTTTTACAGAGAGGAAATGAGAGGGATAGAGAGTTAGAAACGTCAAACAGCTGCCTCCTGCACACCCCCTACTGGGCATGTGCCCACAACCAAGGTACATGCCCCCGACCGGAATTGAACCTGGGACCCTTCAGTCCGCAGGCCGACGCTCTATCCACTGAGCCAAGCCAGCTAGGGCCGCAATTGCGGTTTTAAGCATCATCTGTCTTGATGCCTCTGGTAACCAGGTGCAAGCAATGGACCCACAGAGAAAATGCTTGGATCCCTGACTTCATATGCTCAGATACTGCCCTGTTGGCAGCACTGGGTGATGCACCCTGTTTTCCTGGAGACTCCAATTCCAGGGGAAGGAAGAAGTCCAGGGGCAGGGAGAGAATGTTCTACCCCAAGGAGTGCTCACCTGGGAGGCCCAGCAGTAGAGTCAGCAGCAGGCAAGGAGGAGGGCGGGGCCAGGAGGCAGGGTCGGGCATCCTGGAGGCCTGAGGGGCCTGCTGTGTCCGTGTGTGCCCGGAGGACCCGGATTCTCTGCTCTGTGAGAGGAGTGAGGCCCCAGCTGTGTGATATAAGAGGAAGCGCCTAGGAAGGGGTGCAAGGCTGTGACACAGTAGCCAGCCTCTATATTCTAAATAGTTCCTGATTGTGAAATAGTCAGTCAGGGAAGCAACCTCAGGGTGAGCAGTTACTCATCTAGTTCTCAGAGGGACTAGGACAGGCCTCCAGGCAGTAGTGCTCAGGGCGTCTGCTCTCCACTGGCCCCTCAGCCCGTATGAGGTCTTCATGGGATGTGGCCGGCTTATGGCCGCATCTCCTTCAGCCTCAGCAAGAGCTACTCACTGGAGGAAGGAGAGGGTTCACCAGAGCCTGGTCAGGTTGGGATGGAACCGGTCTGCTCCTGAATGACTCCGTATCTTAACCCTTTATTGAGGTAACTGGTAAAACTTAGCCCAAATGCAAGTGTGAGGTGGACCTCAGAACTGGTATGTGCTACAAAAGAAATAGTATCCTGACTTCTCTGGGGAAAGGAAGTAGGTCCTATGACCCAGCAATTACACTCCCAGGCATTTATCTCAGACACATGAAATCTTATGTCCACACAAAAATCTGTGCATGATGTCATAGCAGTTTTCTTTGCAATAACAAAAAAAATAAACTTGAAACAATGAAAATGTCCAATAATAAGTGAATGGTTAAACAAACGGTGGTGCATCCATACACGGAAGTCCTACTCAGCAATGAAAAGGAATGAATTATTTACATGTGCAACAATTTGTAAGTTTCTCAAAGGCATTATGTTGGGTGAACAGAATCAATCCCAAAATGTCACAGACTGCATGATTCCACTTATATCACATCCTGGAAATGACAGAGTGGAGAGCAGATCCACATTCAAGAGGTTTGGTACAGTGAGGGTGGGGTCACTATAAAGGGCTCTCACTGGGAGACCAATGTGGTCTGCCTCCTGGTGGTGGGCACACACACATACATGAGGGTTCAACATAGCAAAGAAGGGACTGTTTCAAGATTCAGCTGTAAATGCCAGTCTCATGGTCATTATGATGTAGATACTATTCAGTTACCCAAAATGATGATGTAATGATAGTAGGGTGATGGGGAATGGAGTGTGTGTGTGTGTGTGTGTGTGTGTGTGTGTGTGTGTGTGATGAGGTCAGGAGTAACAGAACCTGTGTCCGCATCTTCCTCAGTGGGAAGTCCATAAATAATGCCTGAGAGAGAAAAATCAAGAAGTGAAATAGAAGCACACTATATGAGGTATGGCTGCAAAAGCTAAAGTAATTAGTTAAAAGAGCTAAAAAAGGCTGCCTCTGAGAGGCAGAAAATCGTGGGAGGTTAGGGAGGCTCCAGTTTTTACATGTAGAACTTTGCAGAACCATGTGCATATGTGACTGTGATAAAGGTAGAAACCAACTCTAGATAACTAGATTAATGTTGTAAGAGGTAAACAAAGCTCAGCCACTGTGACTCAGTGGTAGAGTGTCGACCCATGAATCAGGAGGTAACAGTTTGATTCCCTGTCAGGGCACATGCCTGGATTGTGGGCTCCATCCCTGATTATGCAGGAGGCAGCTGATCAATGATTCTCTCTCATCATTGATGTTTCTATCTCTCCCTCCCTCTCCCTTCCTCTCTGAAATCAATAAAAAATATTTTTTTAAAAAAGAGTTAAACATAAAAGAATGCCCATCTATACAATAAAAGGGCAATACGCTAATTAGACCAGGCCTTCTTCCAGATGTCCTCTGTACAAAGTCCACAGTGGCGGGGGCCAAGGCAGAGGTGGTTAGGGGCGATCAGGCTGTCAGGGGAGAGCAGTTATGGGCAATCAGGCCAGCAGGAGAGAGCAGTTAGGGGCTTAGGGGGTGATCAGGTTGGCAGGGGAGGGCAGTTAGGGGCTTAGGGGGCAATCAGGCTGGTCAGGGAGCAGTTAAGGGGCAATCACGCCAGCAGGCAGAGGCAGTTAGGGGCAATCAGGCAGGCAGGCAGGTGAGCAGTTAGGAGCCAGTGGTCCCGGATTGCAAGAGGGACATCCCCTGAGGGGTCCCGGGTTGGAGAGGGTGCAGGCCGGGCTGAGGCTCCCCCTCCTGTGCACAAATTTCATGCACCGGGCCTCTAGTACTATTTTAATTAGTAAGACTTTTATAAGTGTTGGGTGTAAAAATGATGATCAAAATCAATTACCATCCTAAAGAGTAGTCTAAAACCACTAAAAACAGTAATTATGCTTTTAAAAGATTCTATAAACTAGAAAGTGTTAGAGATAGCTCTAATTAGAGATGCATAAGAACATTATTGGCGGCGGGGGGGGGGGGGGTGTGTGTGTGGGACACATGAAATTGTAAAAGTCTTTTAAAAACCTAAATAAATAGAGGTATATTATATCCATGGATGGGAAAACTCAATATTGAAGACATATCAGTTTGCCTGAATTAATATTATATAAATTCAATGCAATTATATAATGTTTCTAAGAGGACTTTTTGATGAAACTTGACAAAGTCATTCTAAAATGCATTTGGGTCAAGAATAGCCTGACAAGAAAAGATAGGAAGACTTTCCCCCAAAGAGCTCCAACATTATTATAAAGCTTCCCTAATTAAGACAGGGCTATTCTGACAGAGAGACAGGCAAGCAGCTCAAAGCAACAGAAACCTCACAAAGAAAACCACATCTTTATGGAAACATGATATATGGCAAAGGTGGCAGCACCAATCATTGAGCGCTGGGTAAATAATCTTTGTGGAAGAAAAAGAACAAACTGATGGCTGCCAAATGGGACAGGGTCAGGGGACTGAGTGAAAAGGGTGAAGGGATTAATAAGTATAAATTGGTAGTTACAAAATAGTCACGGGGATGTAAGGTATAGTTTAAGAAATAGAATCCTATATAATAAAGAGCTAATATGCAAATGGTCATCATGCCCTCGCGTTCTCGTGCCCTCGTGCCCTCGCGCCCTTGCGCCCTCATGCCCTTGCACCAGGGCTGGGGGTCCTGAGGCTGTGCTCCCCCGCCCTGTGGGGCTTGACAGGGATGGGGCTGGCCAGGTCTGGGTCTCGCATGATTTTGAGGTGCGTGTGGGTGGACAGGGACTTGACTCTGGGTCCCGCGGAACACCCCAGACTCTGACAGGAGGGAGATTTTCCTATACATTTTACTACTTTTCTCTCATCTCTGACACTTCTATTATAGAGAAAGGGAAAACTGCAATATTAAGATATTTCCTCTAATTAGTTCCCTTTTAATGTGCACAAATTTCATGCACCGGGCCACTAGTATAGTCAATGACATTGTAATAGCTATGAATGGTGCCAGGTATGTACTGAATTATTAGAGGGATCACTTTGTAAATTACATAAATGTCTAACTACTATAATGTAACACCTGAAACCAATAATGTTTAACATCAAATGTAATTGAGAAAAAGACTTAACCACTTCTAAGACACACAGACACACACACCAGAAAAAACATGGCTAGGTCAAAGGCGTACGTGCAAAGAGCAAAACTCGATAAAAAACTGAAAACTTTTCTTTATAAAACAAAAGCTCCCAAATGATAACAACACTGCTGCTCATGGCCCAAACAAGAGGAACCAGAAGGGCTCTGCATATGTGCCAGGGAAGCAAAGATATAGTGTTGGTTGCAAAGTTGCACTAGCAAAACTTTAGATAGAGCTTTACTACCATCTTGAGAAGAATCTGTAAATTGCAGCATATCTTACAATAGAAAACTGTAGAGCATGGAAAATTAATACAATGGAGTTACTGATACATATATCAACATTATTAAAACACACAGAACTGTGTGAAGCATACAAATAAAGTTCCAGAATGTTGTATACAGTATAATAGCAGTTACCTAAAATTTAAAACATGCAAAGCAATACTAAATATTGCTTAAGGATTTACATATGCTGGAAACCAAGACCAACAGTAATTAATATAAATGCGAGAAGTCCACTAGAAGGCTGAGTTTGGGCTTTGATATTCACAGGGTAAATTTGCATTTTATTACCTACTGCTGACTCAATGGCCTAAAGCAAACCCCCCCAAACCCTGATAATCTTACTGTTTACTAAACATTACCATTGATATGTCTGTTTGCATTCCTAAAAGGCAATTGTGTATTCTAGTAAATAAAAGCAGACAGGAACAGACTCAGTGGAAGTTGACTTCTCCAGTTGAGTTTTCCCCTGGCTTCCCCCCATAATTTCAAAATTAATTTTTCTTGTCTTGTGTGTCAATTTGTGCGTCAGCTCTTTCTCCAAGCCTTTGAACCCGAAAGCCACGCTGGCCTCGGCCTTTCACATACATATATGTTGTAAAAGTATAAAATCATGCTAGAAAATGATTAACACACAATTTAGGACAGTGTTTTCAAAAGGAACAGAGAACATAATAGAAATATGTGAATGTTTTGCAAAGAGAGATGGTAGGTCCATGGATACCATTAATATTCTTTATATATTTCAAAATAGTAAAATGCTTATTCAACTTAGTGATTTCAAATATCTGTTTGTTAAAATAAAAGTATACTGGCAGAGCTCTGGATAAAAGTAAAATCTGCTCGGAATATTAAGGGTTGTTTATGATGAGGGGAGGTGAAACTTGTTCTCTTCATGTTTCTGGTTCTGTTTTGGGTGGAGGCAGGGCCAGTGTGAAGCTCAATGCATCAAGGTCCAGACATCCCTGAGTCTCTGTGACCAAAGCCCATCCTTGACTCAGCTTTATTATCAGAGAGAAGCAACATCAGGAGGGTGTGTGGAGGGAGCTCCTGTGCAGGTGGGGCTGGCAGAATGAGGAGCAGGGGTCTCAGGTAAGGGGCAGGTCCTTGCAGCTTCTTCCCTCCAATTGAGGCCTTTGGTGAAGGCAGGGGGGGGCTGTAGGGAAAATCATTCATTCATTCATTTCATAAACATTTATTGAGCATCTGCTAAGTGACAGGCATTCTTTTTGGCCTGAGTTCATGATGTAGATCGGAAATGAAGCCCATAAACACTACACCCCAACACTTCTTTCTGAGATCTGAACTCTCTTCCATTCCTTGCCACTAGTCCGCTCCTGCAAAGTTCTATATATTAGTTCATCGGTTCTCAACCTGTGGGTCGCGACCTCTTTGGGGGTCGAATGACCCTTTCACAGGGGTCGCCTAAGACACATATAAAACACATATATAATTACATATTGTTTTTGTGATTAATCAGTATGCTTTAATTATGTTCAATTTGTAACAATGAAATTGGGGGTCACCACAACATGAGGAACTGTATTAAAGGGTTGCGGCATTAGGAAGGTTGAGAACCACTGTATTAGTTGATGTTGCCAATACTTTCTTATTCATTCCGAAGAAATATATAAACCAAAATATATAATAGTTTATGGGGGGACTCTTTGAGACCCAAACTGGGTCTCAAAGCTTTGGCCTTCATCCCACTTGGACACTATGAGGTCCCAAGGAACTGAATTTGAAAACTTTCAAACACCAGGGCACTACAAATGCATGAGAGCTAAAAGCTCTTACAATTCCAAGAGCCGTTTGGAGAAAATAAGTGTTCACAAACTTCTTAAAGCTGGATCACCTTGTAGAAACCATGTGACTTTGTGGGTAAGCCCTGGACTCCTCTTGCCAGCCCCTGACAATGGCCCTGACCTCCTCCCTCACGACTAAGGCCTCCCCCCAATTTACCTGTTACAGGTTCCACCACCTGTGGATGTAGGTGACTGTGAAACTCGTCACCAGCAGCAGCTTGAGGCCCAGGAGGAAAGCCACAAATATAAGGGCAGGTGTCTCTGGACCTAAATACCACATGGGCAGAAGGAGACATCAACTGGGGCTCTGTGAGTTTAAATACATCCTCTGATGTCATGTTGCCAGGAAGTTTCCGAACCACTAATTGCACCCAATTCTGTCTGGGTTCAAGCCCATGCTCTTTTCTCTACACTCAGCTTCCGCTTGGAAATAAGTGATGATCTTGATCTTTTAGCCTCACCTTGAATTGAAGTAAACAAATATTGATTTTGAACATCTATCACACGGCCAGCTAATGTGTCAATGTCCAGAGGTAAAAACCTCTGGAAGTATAAAGCTGCGTGTCCTCCAGGCCTGTGGTCATTCAAATTAAACTTTTATACAAACTTAGGAGGTTAGTATCATTAACACCATTTATAGATGAATCATCTGGGGCTCTGAGAGGATAATTGACTCAGTTCCCTGAGTTTACAAAGCTATAATTACTGTAAACTAACCTTTAAAATAATTTTGTTGGAATTCAAGTAGTAATAGTAGCTGACATTTATTGTAGACACATATGTAGAGTTTACATATATTAATTCACTTAATCCTCATAAGGACTCTATTAGTTAGGAGCCTTCATGTGACCCATCTACACTACATTAGACTCATCTACAGATGAGTATAGGGAAGCACAGAGAGGTTAAGTACCTGGACAAGAATATAGTGAAAAAGCCTGCTCTGTCATCAGGGCAGACATCATGGGGTTCACAGGGTAAGGTTGGTGGACAAGTCTCTTCATGTAACCCAAAGACACTATTTAACAAGAGATCATTGCTAAAGACCATCTCAGAATAACTAGTGAGCATCCTAAGCTAGTGGGAATTTTCAAGGAGGTTGAGGTGGGAGACTGTTCTCTCCTCAGAAATGAAAGAATCTTTCGTGATGGCCACATCTAAAGGAAGAGGCAGGCCAGAAGCCAGTCTGGTTAGCAAGGAATCACAGACTCTTAAGTTGGGCAAGACTTTAACCATTACGCCCCCTCCCTATGCCTTTCGGAACCCACTCAAGAGAGGGAGGTGACCCAGCTGCTCATAGGAGAAGAAGTGAGCTTACCTGGGTTTTCAATGGGCTTGTATGTCCCGTGGGCTGCTGGGGACAGTATGAGGTTGGCCCAGATGGGAGGCTGTGCCTCATGCTGTACCTTACAGGTGAATACCCTCTCAGACCCATGCCCTGATGCATTCACCCATTGCAAGCTTTCCAGGGTGTAGGTCCCATCAACATTCTTCTTGGGTGTGGCTGGCTCAGCTCCCTTGAATGTATCGCAGTTCTCCAGCCAGGTGAGTTGCACACTTTGTGGATAGAATCTCTGCACGTGGCAAGTAATTGCTACCAAGTCCAAGGACATTGAAGCCTGAGACATTGTCACTGCAGGGGAAACTGACACAGTCAGAGAAAACAGACAATTACTCTAGGAAGTTTACAATGGGAGCCTGAGAACTCCTTGAGGATGGGGTCATCTTCCCAGAGCCTGTCGAAGAAGAGGATTTAGATATGGGTTAACAGATGCATGCATAAGGAAATGCATGATGAATGAATAAGAGTGTGAATGTATGAGGGAATGCATGCTTGGATAGATGAATGGATGGATGCATGGATGGATGCATGGAAGAATGAATGGGAAAAATGAAAGCCATCCTAATCGTTACTCTCTTTTCCATTTTGGTCATTAAAGATGATACAATGAAGTTTGAATTCCATTTAAGAACCTATGAACCAGTTGACTAATGTATGACTTGGTAATGCTAAGATTTAAAGAGTCATACACTCTAAATCTTTATGACTCAAGATACTAAGGTTTTACATAGGCGGGAACATGGGTGTGGAGAGGTTATGTGACATGCCTGCCACAACTTGCACAAGGTCACGAGTAGCTGGGACTGTCAGAGACAGTATGTTTTACTAGTCTGTTATTCTGACACCCAGACTCTAAGGCTGTAGAATTTAAGATTCTTTGCTTCTGAAATTTTGATCTAATGACTTCTAGACTTTTTTCAACCAGATTTTCAGCTGTGCAATAGGACGTATTCATAATGAGAAAAAATTTTAAATACTATAAAACATGAAATACTTCAGGACACTTCATATGAACACACAACATAGTGTAGTTCTAACACTACACCAAAGGATGGGAGCTCCAGATTCTGGTCCCTACTGACACCATAGCCAGTGGCCAGACCTTATGTAAGTCACTTCCCCTCTGTTTCAAGAATCTTAAATTATAAGTTGTCTAAGGTGGATCAGCTCTCACAGGGCCAGTGAAGACAAACCTCAGTTCTCGGTCTAGAGTCTAGACTCTAGAGTCAAGAAATTGTGTTGTGCAATTTGAAGGAACTAAGGGCATCTGAGCCCAAAATATCCTTTCTTCATACTCAACCCGCCCAGACCTATTAAATTCTATCAATGAGTAGAACAGCCACAGTAAGACATCATCCCCGTATGTCATGATCTATAATCCGTCTTTCCCCTTCAGCACAAGAGCAGGAATTCATACCAAGCAAAGAGCAGGATGCTGAGAAGGAGAAACCCAGGATGCTGAAGGGCTGGTAACTAGGGTGCTACCTACGGAGGACAGTCCAGGCTAAGGTACCACCAAGCAAGTGTCATGGCTCTAGGTGGTGGCAAGGACCAATAAAAGGATGGAGGTGCTCAGATGGCCCGTTCCAGCCACCAGCAAGTTCCCCTGGCTCTCCAGTGTCCATGGAAGTACGGGGAGGATAGAGACCCAGGCACAGAGGCAGTGTGCATGTGGTATCTCATTTAATCCTCACAAAACAAAATGAGATCAACACAGAAAGCTGCTTGGTATCAGAAAACAGAACGAAAAGCCGCTCAGAAGGAACCTATGCAAAATCAGGGCCTACTTTCATAGAAACTGCCACAAAGGAATTGGTTGAAACTACATCTTGAAAAATATTTCAATAATAAAAACAATTTTGTTAGCTTATGTTTTAAATTAAGTATGGAATATTATCAAAACCCTGCACCAACTCTTAGAAGGAACAACTCTTGGGAGTGTAAGGAAGTTGGCATAATTTTTTCCCAGAATCATATACTACAGTCTCAACAAATCCATCATTTTAAATTTCACACTTACAGCACAATCATTAACAGGAAATTTTGAAAAATTATTCGAGTGTTCTATCAATTTTCACAGTGGCCTCTTTTTAATCAAAGTGTCCTCTTTTGAAGTGTCCATAGAATTGTTAGAACCACAGATTTTCTTCCCCATCTTTAACCACTCAGAGGCTTTGCCCATGATCTCAGAAGCTCCCCATCATTTGCGTCAATGTTCTGAAATAACTTTTGCCAGATCTCTGATTTCACTTTGCAATGGATGTGATTCTGTGTGCACAGTATGGTCTGATGTTTGCCACACTTCAATCAAGGCAAGACCCGCCTCCTGGAGCAGAGGGTTTCTGGGCTCCCATAGGTCTCCGCCAACCTGTCTCAGTGCTTGGCAGTGGGGCTGGGTGGTGCCACTTCCCATCTCAAACGCCTCCTTGATTCTCTGCCTCAGGATTCCTGCATATCCATGAAATGCCACCCAGCTCATGCAGGCCCATCTCAGCCTCCCCTCCTTTGTGGGGACAACCCTCAGCCACACTCTCCATAGTTCCTTAGAGTCCCCAGTGGCACTGAACTTCAGTCATCCACAGGGACACCCAGTTCAACATCTCCCCTTTTCTTGTGTATCTCTCTCTCCCCATCCCTTATTCTACCTGTACCCAACTCCTGGCTGCAGGTTCTGCTTTCAGGGGAACCCAGATAAAGACACCCACAAAGACACTTCTGTGACAGGAAACCCAACCGGTGATGCAAGCCATGTTGAGCAAGAAGGGCTCTTGAGTGGGGCCTGGTTTTGTTAGTAATCAATTCATTTGTGAAAACTGCATTTTCTATCATTTTTGCTTCTCTATACAATTGTCCTAACTGCAGAGAACTATATAATAAATACTCCGATAAGGAGGACCCCCCAAATTATCAGTTCCCTACGTTACAGGAAAGGTTCTGAGGCTGGGAGAATGCAGGTAACTAGCAGGAGATCCCGCAGCTACTGAGCAGCAGAGTCAAGCCAGAGTTCACGTTCAAGGCCCCTCACTCGCCAGCCCTACAAACCCAGGGAGGCTTCACAGCTTTGAACCCCTGTTTCCTTCCGTAAACTATGAAGGGGATGAACAGTACCAGGTGGCTGTATACGTTAAATAAGTCACCCACATGGCTGTGCTCATCTGAGACGTCAGTATCAATAGTCTGATGCAAAATGATGTGTTTACTTCCATGATGAAAGCACACAAAATAAAGAGGAAAATATATTGTACACCTTAAAGTCTTACAGACATGTGAGGAATTAATCACTGCTGTCTCCCTTGGGCCACTCACTGGCCTTCTCTAAGGCTTTAGAGTTGTCATTAAGGATGGGCGACCACTAAGACTCCCTCCAGGCATGATATAGTATGACCTCACGGAATTTACACACCGGTCAAGAATTGATTCAGGACAGGAAAATCGGCCAAAAATATCTGATGAGAAATTAGGCCAAATGAAGAAACCCCTGGGAGCCCCAGCAGTGAGGAGAAGGCTGCCTGCCACCCACAGTTCACAGCCACACCCGTGTCACACGACCCTGCCTAACGCACCAAGTGCCCCTTCAATTTAGAAGTTTCAAAGCCCTTCGCATCCTCTTCATAGAAATAATAATAAAATTAAATTTATGATTTATTCCTGGAAGGATTTTGACTCCATTTTACAGATGAGAAAACTGAGTTCTGAGAGCTGATGTGAATGGTAACACTAAGAAAAAGCAACAATGGCCATTTCTGCAAGAGTCATATGAGCGAGGCATGTGCTCAGCAGGGATCGTTGGGTTGAATCTTTGCCACAAGCAAGGGAGGGATGAGCCACTTTTCAGATGAGGAAACGGGGCTCAGAGGCATCCACAACCCAACCAGCCCGGCTGGACAGAAACGAGCTCCTTACCACGGAGGTACTGGTCCAGGGCGATGGTTTTCTGGAAAGCCAATTTCGACTTGTGCATGACGAGGCAGAAGACTTGGGAGCGCACGTCCCCAGCCTGCAGGGGGACGCGCACGCTGCTGCTCACGTTGTAGGTGTCTCTGCTGAGGTGGACGCTGGTCTGGGGGTTCGGCAGCGTGTGGTTGTTCTTAAGCCAGGCCACCGTGACGTGCTGCGTGTGGAATCCGGACGACGTGTACTTCAGTAGGATGCTTGTGCCCGGCTCTGATCGCTGAGGGGGGCCTTGCAAGGTGTAAGAGTAGCTGCTCCCGCCTGCAAGGAGACACCCCCACTGTGAGAGGGCGCGGAGGGGCCCAAATGCCAGTGAGAACAAATCCTCAGCGTCTCTACCCAGAAGTCTCGTTGGCTCCTTGTCCAAAGGGTTAAAGGTTACATTCTAAAAAGAGCTAATTTCTGAAGCTGATACCAGAAGCCAGATGATGAAGTCCCAGGGAGCCCCAGCAGGGTGTATGAAGGCTGCCTGCCACCCACATCTCACAGCCACACCCATGTCACACGACCCTGCTGATGGCTCTGCCTACCTCACCAAGTTCTCCCCCAAACCATAGGAGGTGGGAGTTAGGACTCTCCCATGTCACATATGAGGAAGGCTAGGTAACTTGCCCAGGGCCCACAGCTAGGCACGGGCAGAGCTGAGGTTCTTAGCCAAGCAGTCTGCCTGCAGGGTCTGTACCCATGACTACGGCTCGGCTCTGCCCCCAGTCCCTCAGAAGATAGGAGCGCCTCACTGCTCAAGAGCAGGGCATGTGAAAGCAAGTGGCACAGAGAGGGGCTAGGAGCACGGGCTTTCACGTCATGTTCAAGTTTGCATTCCCAGGCCCTCCACTAGGTGAGCCTGAGCAACTCGACTCTCTAAGCCTCAGTTTCCTCATCTGCAACAAGGATGGTTCTTATTTTTGAGAATTAACGAATAAATTAAGTAACTAGTATAGACTATGTGGCACATATTAACCGCTCTCTAAGTGGTCTAGCATCATATACTTACTGTAAGTTTAACATTTTTCGTTTAGCCCTGCTCTGGACGGGGCACCTTGAAGATTGCAAAACAGGCATCATAGAGCACCTACTGTGTGCCCCATGGTCAATCAGGGGTCAGGGAACAAATCTTCAGCAGGCACAACAGTTGTCATTACAAAGATGAGGAGACTGAACCCTGGCCACTGTGCTCAGTAGGTAGAACGTCGGCCTGTGCACCGAAGGGTCGCAGGTTCCATTTCTGGTCAAGGGCACATACCTGACTTGCAGGTTCCATCCCCAGCCCCAGTCAGAGTGAATGTGGGAGGCAACCAATTGATGTCTCTTCATTTCTCTCTCTCTCTCTCTCCCCCTCCCTCCCTTCCACTCTTTCTAAAAATCAATAAAATATCCTCAGGGGAGGATTAACAAAAAACAAAGATGAGGAGACTGAGCTGAGTAGGGGCAGTGCCTTGCCTGAGGCAGATGGCCAGTGGCAGCCCTGTGACGTGATACTGATCCATTGGACTCCCACCAAACTCCACACATAGGAGCCAGTGTTAGCTTCAAGGGCTGAAATCCTCGCCATGGAGGAGAGGTGGAAACAGGCAGCCCCCATCATGGGTTTACAGGAGGCCCCAAAGTTTAAGAGGCAATTGTGAATGTGGGCAGATGTGACCATTCAAGAAATAAATACCAGAAACAGAGTATTTAAGGTTGATTTGAGAAGAGGCGTGAGGTAGCGAGGATGTGTGTTCTCAGGCAGGATGGGAGAGAAAACTACAGGCAAAGCACGTTGAGTTTGTGAAGAGACAGCCCTGCCTTCTGATGAAGGCTCTGAGATCGGACACTTGGTCGTCCGCTGCCTTTCCCAGCTGCCTTATGTCACAGGCGTGCGAGGACACCTGGTGCACACTGAGTGCTCTGCGTGTGCCAGCGTGAACAGGCACAGCTGGCAGTGCAGGAGGGTGAGTGCCGAGGTAGGGTTTTCTGGGCCAGGTTGGGGAGGTGTCGCTGCAAAGGTGTGGCACCCAGTGCCAGGAGAGGAGGTTGCCCTTCTCTCCCGCGACCACAGGGCGCTTCCAACAGCTGAATCAAAGGGGTGCTCTCAGGGGCTTCACCTGGCAGCAGTGGGCAGACACACTGCGTGCAGGCAAAGGAGAACAACAGACAGAGGAAGGGACTCAGAGTGAGTCCATAGAGAAGCGAGTCAATAGAGAAGTAATGTAACCTGCTTCTGATGGGAAAGGACCAGCTTGGAGTTTTTCATTCAAATCTGCATGTCCCTCTGGGTGACCGTTTTTCTTATTTCTGTTGGACAAGAAACATTGGGGCGTGTAGAAAAGGGATGATGGAGGGACCGCCCCCCCCCCCGCCCCCCGAGAATCCTTCCAGCAGGCAGATAGGGGCAAATTCTGTCAGGGAGGGATGGCGCGTGGGCCCGAGTCCCTGCTGGAAGATGCGCAGTGTCGCCGCTGCACCTGGACCACGCTTTCTCGGCAGTGACTGGGCTCGAATACGTGCACAGGCGCAGACCCCACACTTCCTGGAGAGACCTGTCTGTCCTTCCCCACCCGCTGTGGTTCTGGAGAGCGGTCAGTCCACACTCAGGTTCAGCCAGGGCTGGCCCAGGCCTGGCCAATCATAATACCCCCTTCTCTCCATTCCCACCTCGTGGCTCAGTCCCTCCGCCCATCTATCATCTGATCCCGGAAAGCAACGCCCTTCTCTGTCTGAATTGCTGGCCGGCAGCGCCCCCTTGTGGTCAAAGTCATCTGCGCCACCAAGGATGAGATCAATAAGGCGGAGAAAGGGTTAGGATGGGAGGGGGAAGGGAGAGCAGGAGGGGGAATGGGAGGCGGAGAAAATGAGAAGGGGAAGGGGGAAAAGGGGCAAATGATAAGGGGAGCGGGAGAGGCAGAGAAAGGAGAAAGAAAAGGCGCACCGAGCAGTAGAGAGAATGAGAATCTCGCACCTGCGGCCACCCTGTCTAATCTCATTAAAATTGACTTCCAGAAACTTCCAGCGGAGCCCGTCGTGATTAAAAGCCCCCCTAGGAGGGACGTTGGCGCCCACAGTCAAACCTCTGCGGTGTCCGCAGTCCAGTGTTAGAGCGGAGAACTTTCAGCCTGCAGAGGCCGCGGGGCTGGGAGGGGGAGCCCCACTCCTTCCTCCCATGACGAGGTGTGGGGGAGGGAGGGAGGGAGGAGTGGACGTCAGGGGGGAGTGCCTGAGAGGTTTATCTCCAGCGCAGGGCGTCCTTCCTTCCTTCACGGTCCACCCTGACCCCGCGGCCATGCTGCCCAGGGCGCCGGGCGGCGCTGCACCCACCTTTCCTCAGCCGGGACGCCTGAGCCCGCAGGGTGATGTTGGCCTGGACCGGGGGCTGCTCATCCTGGACCACCCAGCAGGCAAACTCGCTCCCGTTGGGCTTGGCCGCTGCCTGCCACGTGTGCGCCAGAGAGTAGGTCCCATCTGCGTTTCTGGTGACCTGGGGGGCCGGCACGGTGTGGACGGTGTGCCTGTTCTCCATCCAGGTGAGGTGCAGGTGGGAGGGATAGAAGTGGCTGGCGTGGCAAGTGAGATTCACTCTCTGATGATGGGGGGTGTTCGCCTCGGAGGGCTGGGCGGTGATCTTCAGGGTGGGAACCACTGGCCGAGGAACAGAGAGAAACGTCCGTTGAAATCACACCTGACCCCCTGGCCGGCTTGTGAAGGAACCAGCCACAGATTCTCTCACTCTTTCATCAGTGACTTTTTTTTTTTTTTTTTTAAAGAAATGGTTTTCGCCTGTATGCTCAGTGCAAGGCAAATGGAGCCAAATCTTAATAGTCATTAAATATGGGTTAAGGGTACATGGGTGTCTTGGATCTTACATTCTGTGTTTCAAATGTTTCAAATCATGAAATTTAATTGTCAGATGTACTCAAACGCAATGCCCATGAGGAGAGGGACTTAATTTTATTCATTGCTCTATGCTCAGCACCTGGAACAGTGCCTGGCCCATAGTCGATGTTCCTTTGTCGAATGAATAATATTTAAGATTAATAACAGCAATGATATTATAGAATAAATATGTTTGGAATGGAAAGTTGAGCCAAATAATAATAATAGACATGCACAAACAACCTACTGTGTGCCGGGCACTATTTAGAAGGCACTATTTTAGGTGCTTTATGAGGAATCAGTCATTTGATCCTCACATGAAACCTATGAGGTGGGTCTTCATTTTATTTCCATTCTAGGAGGAAATCAAGGCCCAAGGAGGTTAAGGAGCTTCCACAACATCTCACAAGCTGTGAAGTGTGCAGAGGGTTGATCCCAGATGGTCAGCCTCTGGGACCGGTGCCTTTAATGGCTACACTGCCTGGTCAGCCGTGGCCCTGAGGAGCTTCTGTTTCCCATGAGTGAACTGGGGCTTCAGGTGGAAGACTGTGGCCGCCAACATGCCAGGGAAAACGATGCCCCCCGCCCTACTGCCCACTCACCTCGGAGCACTTGGGAGAGGTTCATGGTCCTGTGCAGGGGCGCTGCCAGGTCCCTGTGGGTGACTTCGCAGGTGATCTCTGACGAGACATCTTGGCGCACCAGCGTCAGCCACACCTTGCTGGTGATGGAGTAATTGCCTTTGTCATCAGTCACCAGGCGCTGAGCGGAGGCTGGATGCTCATCCCAGTCCTTCATCCAGGTGACACTGATGTCCTGGGAGCTGAAGGGGCCGGCGGTGCAGTTGAAAGGCACCGAGTTTCCAGGGGCTGCCCTCTCTGCCGGGCCCGTCAGGGTGATGAACGGCTGCCCAGCTACGAAAAAGAGCACTTGTCTGCACACTGAGGGCGGGACACCGCCAGCACTCAACAGCCTGTCAGAGGCGCCTGTGCTCTCAGGCCCTGTGGACCTACTATGCACCGTGTGTGTTCCTGCCTCAATGGATCATACACACAGATGATAACAAGGGAACAAGCAAATATATAATTGCAACTGGGGCTCAATGATCTAAGGGAAACCCAGAGAGTACAGAGATGGGAAATGCTGGGGGGAGTTATTCTAGAAGTTAGAAAAGGATTCCCAGGGAGGGGACATTTTGAGCTGAAACTGAGGAACGGATAGGAGCCAGCCCTGGGGCAGGGAAATCACATTCTAGAAAGTGGGGAAGCAGGTGAGAATAGCTCGGGCAGGAAGAGCTTGGTGGGCTTGAGAAACTGAGAGGCCTGGGGTCTGCAGCATGTGGGCAAAGCGGTGCAACGAGAAGATCCTATTCTGATGGGAAGCCGGGGGAGATTGTAAGCAGAGGGGCAGGCGGCCTCACTGACATGCTTTAGGAGATAACGGCGGTTTCTGTGTGGAGAATGGGCAGGAGGGTGGCATTGGGAGCAGGGAGGCCAGCGAGGAGGCTGCTGCTGACATCGGGTGAGGTGGTGGTTCCCCGGGCTGGGGTTCTGAGAAACGGAGGTACATCTGGAAGGTAGAGCCCACAGGACTTGGTCATGGACTGGGTGGGAGAGGAGACACAATGAATTATGGGGAAGTGATTCTCGGGGTTCTCTCCTGAGCATCTGGGTGGGTGGTGGTTCTAGGTTTTGAGGAGAAAACTGGACGAGTTGGAATGGGAGAGGGGTGGTGAGGAATCAAGGTTTCCATTTGGGACATAAGTGTGAAGCCAGGGATCCCCACAGGCAAGGATGGCAGGCCCACTCCCCCTCCAGGATCTCCTGGGCAAACAGTGGAGCTGCCTCAGTGGCGCCCACCCTCTGCTCGCTCGCCCCCGGGGATGGGTGGCTCTCTCCACCGGAGGCAGCTTCCTCCCCCTCACAGAGCAGGACTGTGACAAAGCACTTCTGCTTCTGACCGAGGATCTGACTCCTGGGGTCATCCCAGGACAACTGAGGGCCAGACTCGTCCGCCCCCGTGGCATGGTCTGCAGAGATCTGCGGGCCAGACCTCTCCAAGCCTTCGCTGCATTCCCCGAGCCCCTGCTCTGAGCCAGGATGTCAGCTGGAGACACAGGAGCCCCTGGCCAGGTGTGTGTGCGGAAGGGCACAAGTAAACCAGCAACGACAACAGGGAGTGACAGGTGATGGAAGGCGGCTGTGGGGGTCAGAGAGCATGTCCTCTCAGCAGTGAGCTCTGGTACCTTCTGCATAGCGCTCTCTCTCCCCTGAGTGAGGCCTCAGGATAATTATCACCCATCTGGCAGCACCCTGTGGTTTATGAAACACTTTCGGGTGGGTGTGCTCATCGTCATCCACATCCCAACTGAGAAATGCTAGTGTTTCACTTCCGAGAAGAAACAGGCTCAGAGAGGTTTAGTGACAGCTCAAGATCACACAGCCTGTCAGTGGTGAAGCAGGGAGGTTACGCAGGTGCGTCTGACCGTGGGTCCAGCACTCTTCCCGCAATGCCAGAGGCTCCATCACTCAGGGGTTCCTCTCTCCCTCTGTCTTTCCCAACCTCACACCCTCTCTGACCTGGACCAGGTGGCCACCCAAACCAGAGCTGGCATCAAAGAAACTGGGTGGGAGGTGGGCTCCTCCTTCACTCTCAGCCCCTCACCCGCCGGTCACATCTTGCTCTTCCTGACCCCAAAGCTCCCATCATCGGTTCCCCACAGGCCCACACTGAGGAAAGCAAGCAAACAGCACCTGGGAGGCAGGTCCGCAGGTCAGCTAGGTCCTCTGGCCTCAGCCCCTCTGCCCACCCTCACACGCAAGGTGGCTGGATTCGGTACCCCCAGGTGTTCCCTCCCAGACCTGAGGATTCCTGTGGACAGCTCTCAGAACTCACCTGCGAGTCCCAGCAGAAGGGTAGGCAGGAGGGAGCCCAGGGCCTGCCCCAGCGTGGCAGTCATGGCGGGAAGCTCACAGCTTCCCTGGTCCGTGCAGGCGCCAACCCCCAGATGAAGCACTACATGAGCCTGGGAGCCACTGCCTGGTCTCCCGACAACCTGGGCGGGCCCCCAACCCCCAGACACCCACCCACCTCCAGCCTGGAGCAGCTGGGTGAGCCACAGCGAGAGAAGTGGTCACCGTGGCCCAGGCTTCCTTCCAAACCCCAAACCCTCAGATCTGAGGTCTCCAGCTGGGAAGTGCCTGCTGCCCGAGCCTGGGGGCTGCCTGTCTTGTGCGGCCAGCAGAGCAGGCAGGCATGGCTCCCACAGCTTCTGCTGCAGAGCCCCCTCGGGGTGGGGAGCCTCCTCCCGCCGGAGACGCCATGGGGCCTGCGCTGGCCCGGCCCAGGGATGTCTCTTGAGACACAGAATGGATGGGAAGTGGCCTGGGCAGGACTGGTGAAGTGAGCCTGGACACATTCAACCAAATAGACAAGCATCCAGACTAGACTGTGAAAGCCAGCCCTGCCCCTCACCGCCCTGTGCCCGCACAGTGTCAGCAGGACTTGCCCCTGGCCCTGGATTGTCCGCTAGGCCACAAGTTCGGAAAGGCGAACGTTAAGCACAACCACTCCCCCGGCTTCACCCCTTGGTTGCTTCTGACCCCCCTCCCCCGTACCCTTCTACTCTCTCTGGCTCCCCAGTGGCTAGCTCGGACATACATACTGTTGGTTTTTATCTGCTTTCCCATGAGAAATGATTGGGTATGAGGACTGCTGTCTTTCAAACACTCCAGTAATCAGCACCCAGCACTCAGCACTGTGCTGGACACACAGTGGGTTCTCAATCATAAGGAATGAACCTTTGGGACCAGGTATGGGCTCGGGACTGATTAAGAAGCAGCAAAGTCCAACCTGCATACTGCCCCCCCACTCCTTCCCAGCCATCCCATCTCCCCATGCTCTGTCCACTCGGCTCATGGCGGGGGGGCGGGGGGGGGGGCGGAGGGGGAAGGGAAGCAGTGGCCAGCCTGGAGGAGACAGCTCTAGAATCTCTCCCCTCCCCTCTCCCCTCACAGCAAAGCACCTGCATCCCAAGGAGAAACCTCTAGAGAGGTTTCTCTTAATTGGATTGACATCTGGTGATTGTGGGGGCTACATAAGCAAGGTAGGGGAGCTGCAGGAAGAGGAGGCCGGCTTCCCCTCCACGCGTCTCCCGAGGCAGACAGTGGACTTGCTGCCGTGAGCATGAGAAACGGGAACTGGAAAGGAAAGGCAGGGCAGAGGGGGTGGGTGGTGGCAGGGGAGCAACCTGAAATTCCCCCACCCCCATGCAGCATTGCAGGAGGGGGTTTCTCGGAGAGCCCCGTGGAGGAGTGTGGCATCCTGTGGGCAGCCACTCCAGAGTTCCCTAAAGCATAGACTCTGCATGGACTGCAGGGCCCAGCTGTGGAGCTGGATTAAATCATGCATGAGAGCTGCACCCAGGGCACCCCTACACACATGCACACGCACACGCACACAGGGACCCAACTTGAGATAAGAGGAGAAACAAAAGGCCCCTTATCTCCACCCCTGCCAGACCCCTCAGCAGGGACTTGGGGGCGCACTGGCTGTGGGTGAAGGAGAGTGTGATGTTGGCCCTACATGGGAATGTGGACATTAGCAAACAGCCAGTTCAGGCTGGGCTTTAAGCAGAGCCTAACACAGAATAGTTTTTTCATGAAAGTTTGGCAAAATGATTCACCTGTGTCGCCCATTTGGCAACAGTTGTCGAGCACCTTCCCAAAGTGTCCAGACAGGCAGGCCCTGCCTTCGGAGACAGGGAGGGGCAGGCAGGCGAGCCGTGGGGGACCTGAGCCGAGGGCGTGCTCCCAGAGGAACAGCACCCGTTCCGGTGGCGCCCTGCTCCGTGCAGACAGTTGGATGTTTGGGTAAACAAGCAAGAAGGATTATGGGGAAGGAAATGGGGGAAGCACTACCAATGAGAAAGCCTTCCCTGTGGCAGTGGCTTGACTTGTGCAACTCCGGTCACACCACTTACATAGACGGGGAGACAGTGACAGTGCGGGTGGGGCTACAGGGGGAGGTGTCGCACAAAGAGAAGTGGGGAAACTGGGATCCTCTGGGTGGTGGTCTGAATGCCAAGGGACCCACAGGGCTCACCCAAGCTGGGCCACATGCCCACTGGGTGAGGCTTGTTTTTCTCTGAGTGGGGCCAAGCCCATCTTCTTCCTGATTCCAGCGCCAGCAGGAGGCAGATCTCCCCGAGTCTGTAAGCTCAGCCTCATCTGTGCTGGAGGCCTAAGAGCCCTCGTCATGAGTACGGGCCCCAGCCCTGACCTAATGGCCGAGAGGGACAGAGGTCCAGGCTCTTCAGGAAACGGACATCGATGTAAAAGCAGCTCAGGCTGACAACCCTGCAAGTGCAGACAGTTCAATGACACGGTGGCACCAGCCACAGGCCCTTGGTCAGACCTGGGCCTCTGTTTCCTTATCTGCAGCAGGAGGCGAGTGGCATCCACCTGTGACTCTCTGAGTCTTCTGCATATAAGGTCTTAAGTCCGAAGCATAGAATTGAAGCTAAATAAATGTGAGTTTCTATCCTAAGAAGTGCAGCTCTCCACTTCATTCTTCTTCCACCTGTTAACTCCTCCAGCATGGCTTCTTAGGAAGCGGGGCGGGGGGAAGCTGTCAAGACCCCTAAATAGCAAATTGCCATGTAAAATCCAACCCCTTGCTACAAGAACCCATTATCAGTCACCCTCACCCCATCTTCTCAGATGGGGCTCACATGCAGCTTGGACAAGCCACCCCTGTCACCCTGCTGCTCCCCAAAAGCTCTGTCTCTCCCTGAGACAGTGACCCAGCTCCTTGTGGGTAAGGACTCCTGCTTGTTCACCTCCTTCATGTCTAAGTCCTCAGTGCCTAACACAGTACCTGACACAGAAAAGCCTCTGGACACATTTGCTGAGTGAATTCATTTCATTATCAACTTATTCATTAACAGAGAACACCTAAATGTACAGGCACGCTTCAAGTCACTGAGCCACTGAGCAATGAGCAAGACAGGTTCTCACCCTCAATGAAGCGACGTGAGCTACTTTCAAGGGAGGCCAGGAAACAAAGAAACATGCACTGAGTGGCCAGATTATTATGACCACCCCATCAGTACTTTGTTGGGCCACCTTTTGCCTTCAATACTGCGGCGATTCTTCTTGGCATTGACTCCACGAGATGTTGAAAGGTGATGCGAGGAATCTGACACCATGCCTGATGAATAGCACTGTCCAGCTCTGTGAGATTTGATGGTTGTGGAACCAGCTGCCTGATGGCTCTTTTAACTTTGTCCCACAAATGCTCAATTGGATTGAGATCTGGTGATTGTGGGGGCCACCTAAGCAAGGTAAAGTCTCCCTCATGTTCTTGAGACCACTCCTGCACAATACGAGCACCGTGGCATGGCGCATTGTCTTGTTGGAAGAAGCCATCTCCATTGGGGTACGCCAGTGGTCGGCAAACTCATTAGTCAACAGAGCCAAATAGCAACAGTACAACGATTGAAATTTCTTTTGAGAGCCAAATTTTTTAAACTTAAACTATACAGGTAGGTACATTGTTATTAACTTAATTAGGGTATGCCTAAGCTGGCCTTTGCTAAAAATGTCCTCAATCTGATTGAGGTACGTTCGCTGAGGTCGACCCCTTCCAACTCTCCCATCCACACCTGTCTTGTATGCTTGTTTCAGATAGACGAGTGTGGATGGGAGAGTTGGAAGGGGTTGACCTCAGCGAACGTACCTCAAAACAATGTCCCTCCCCCTCGCTGCGTATCCCATGGCCCACGGCCCACCTGCGCCGCGTCTCCCGTCACCCAACTGACTGACCGACCAACACCCCCCACTTCTTCTAACGCCACTTCTTCAGAATAGACTTGCCCAGGCCGAAAACCGACTTCTTCGCATGGGCCAGGAAGTTTCAATCGCACTGTACGTGTGCGCCCGCACGTGGTATTTTGTGGAAGAGCCACACTCAAGGGGCCAAAGAGCCACATGTGGCTCGCGAGCCACGGTTTGCCGACCACTGGGATACGCCATCAGCATGATAGGATGGACGTGATCAGCAACGATACTTAGGTATGTTGTGCTATTCAGACGTTGTTCCACATGAATTAAAGGGCCCAAATCATGCCAGGAAAACATGCCCCAAACCATAACATTGCCCCCACCAGCTTGAAGGGTTATACTCATGCATGTGGGGTGCATGCTTTCATGCTGTTTCCGCCAAATTCTCACTCTGCCATCTGCATGATGCAACTGGAAGCGTGATTCATCAGACCACATGACTTTTTTCCAATGCTCGACTGTCCAGTTCTTGTGTTCCTGTGCTTGGGTAACTGTCGTGGTAAACAACCTGCTTCCCTATTTATAATGGTCTGGCCCTCTAGCAACTTCAGTGCGAAATTATAGCTAATTTGCCTACAAATGTCATAATAATCTGGCCACTCAGTGTTTATGCAATGTAATTTTTGGGAGGGTTACCTGAGGCAGAGGGGAGAGCGTGATGGAGGTGTCTGGCACAAGGGGTCCAGGAGGACCTGTGGGGAAGGGGCATGTGATCGGAGCCCTGAATGGAAGGGGAGGAATGGGAGATCTGGGGAAGAGTGCTCCAGAGAAGGGATGCAGCAGGCAGGGGAGCTGAGCTCTGGGTGGGCTGAGCAGCAGCAAGGTCACTGTGGGTCATTATAGGGAGAGGGGGCAGCAGCAGGTCATAGGGCCTGATCTTACAAGCCCTGGGGGAAGAGGTCAGGTTGCAATTTGTGTGCAATGCATCAGTAGCCTGAGAACAGCGGTGTGCAGGATCCAATTTGCAAATTAAAAACATTCTGGTGGCTGGGGATGACGTTGGAGGAAGAACAGGGAGGAGGCAGGGGGAGGAGAGGAAGCGAGAGGCCACTGGAGCTGTAGGCAGCTGGACACGGGAGCCTGGAGGCTGGGGGAGAGATGGGGATGGTGGGGAGAGAGACAGACATTTGCAAGTTGTCGGCATGTGAAAGGGTTTGAAAGATTCTGCAAAAGATGAGCCCAGT